TTAACATAGATTCATAAGTTTTTTTTTTTTTTAGTTAGGATTTCCCTGCACATATTTTTCCATCTTTTACTTTCAAACTTCATTGACTCCTATGCTTAAGATGGTCTCTTTGAAAAAGATGTGACTAGATTCTGGCTTTGTATCAATCTTACAATCTCTACTTTTTAATGGGTGAGTTAGTTCTATTTACATTTTTTATAATTTTTCAGAATTAAGACTTGATTCCACCATCTTAACATATTCTTCTTTTTTTAATATTTTTTTTTATTTTTTATTTAAAAAAAAAATTTTTTTTCAACGTTTATTTATTTTTGCGACAGAGAGAGACAGAGCATGAACGGGGGAGGGGCAAAGAGAGAGGGAGACACAGAATCGGAAACAGGCTCCAGGCTCCGAGCCATCAGCCCAGAGCCCGACGCGGGGCTCGAACTCACGGACCGCGAGATCGTGACCTGGCTGAAGTCGGACACTTAACCGACTGCGCCACCCAGGCGCCCCTTAATATTTTTTTAAGTTTTTTATTTTTGAGAGAGAGAGACACACATAATCTGAAGCAGGCCCCAGGCTCCAGGCTCTGAGCTGTCAACACAGAGCCCGATGCGGGGATTGAACTCATGACCTGTGGGATCATGACTTGAGCCGAAGTTGGACTGCTTAACCAACTGAGCCACCCAGGATCCCCTTAAAGTATTCTTTATATTTGTTTTCTCCTTTTCCCCCTTTTGCATGTGGGGAAGTGATTCAATTTGTGTCTTCTTTTTTGTTATTTTTTTTCTTTTGTTTTTTCTTATCCGATTTCCCCCTCTATTGGTTTGGAAGTTACATGCTCCTTCTAAAAATAATCCTTTAGTATTTATCTTTGAAGATTTACCATGCATACCTAAAATCTAAAGTTAATCTATGGCTTAACCACCTTTCTGAAAAATTTTCAAACTTTAAAATACTATAACTTAAATTGAACTTTACTGGCTTCCATGCTATCATCAGCTGTTTTAGATCATGACTTTAAAAGGAAAAAACATCGCTGGGGCAAGCTGGGTGGCTTAGTAGGTTGAACATCCGACTTTGGCTCAAGTTATGATCTCACAGTTTGTGAGTTCGAGCCTGGCATCAGGCTTCTCTGCTGTCAGCACAGAGCTCGCTTTGGATTCTCCCTCACACTTTCCCTCTCTCTCAAAAATAAACATCTTTTTTAAAAAGGAAAAGAAATTATTAATTATTAATATTGGCTTTTACTGCTGATATTTATTTAGATTATCCCTGTGTTACCAATTCCTTTGCTCACTATCCCTTCTTGCATCTCAGACCTTTCTTCTGAGATTTTACTCCTTCCTGAGGTACATCCCTTAGAATTGAAGTTTTGTTGGGGATACACTTCTGTAGCTTTAGTTTCAACTTCACCCTTAAAGATAGTTTACTTGCAATTCTAGGTTCATAGCTATCTTCTATCAGCACTTTGAAGGTATTTTCCAGTATATCATGCTTCCATTGCTGATTTTAAGGGGTCTGCCTAGGTGTTTTTGCCATTCCTTTGTCAATAGCCTCTTTTATTTTCTGACTGCTTTTAAAACCTTCTCTTTGACTTGGCAGTATTTCTAAAACTTGGTTGTTTATATAAATAACCTGTGCAGGCATCCATTTGGAAGTAAAGGATTATGAACAGGTAAGTACAGTTCATTCCCTCTCTCTTTTTTGTGACCCCTGAATCAGTGTTGATTACAAACATACTCCTGGTGGGGCACCTGGGTGGCTGAGTTGGTTGAGTGTCTGACTTTGGCTCAGGTCATGATCTGACCTGAGTTCAAGCCCGACATCGGGCTCTGTGCTGACAGCTCAGAGCCAGGAGTCCGCTTAAGACTCTGTGTTTCCCTCTCTCTGCCTCTCTCCCGCTCATGATCTATCTCTCTCTCTCAAAAATAAACATTAAAAAAATATCATTTAAAAAACAAACAAACAAACATACTACTGGTAAACATCCCAGTGCAATTTACTAGAATATAAATGAGAGTCTTTTAGGGGCTGCTATGAACTTACTCTGGTGTGTTAGGTTAGAATTGGGGAGTTTTTTTTGTAATGAAGCCTGAAATTAAAGAATTTAGGATTCAGCTGGCTAAAGAATGGAAATTAGTCGTGCAGCCCATCTAGCTAAGTATCCAGAGAGATGTAAGAATTAAAAGAATCCCAAACTGAGGCCCCTGGGTGGCGCAGTTGGTTAAGCGTCCGACCTCAGCCAGGTCATGATCTCACGGTCCGTGAGTTCGAGCCCCGTGTCGGGCTCTGGGCTGATGGCTCAGAGCCTGGAGCCTGTTTCCGATTCTGTGTCTCCCTCTCTCTCTGCCCCTCGCCCGTTCATGCTCTGTCTCTCTCTGTCCCAAAAATAAATAAACGTTGAAAAAAAAATTTTTTTTGAAAAAAAAAAAAAAAGAATCCCAAACTAAATGGTAATGTTGTGCTAAGATTCTTGCCCTTACAGTCACATTACAAAAAAAAAAAAACAAAAACAAAAACAAAACTAGAAGAACCCTAAGTCTAATAAAATTATCAACTAAAAATTCACAATAAACATGATAGTGAGCAGAGAAACTAGGAACTATGTATTCAGCACTCAGTAAATGATTAAATAATTAAACATCTATACTACAGAACACTCCAGTCATTAAAGAAAAGATGAAGTAGAACCTCACATAATGGTGTGGAAATACATTTAACATAGACTGTTCAAGCGACAAACAAATGAGTTACAGAATAACCATAAAATAAAATAAAATTTTATTTCCTTTAAATTTCATTTTCCCTTGATTTGAAAATCTAGCCATTTTGTCTTTTTTCGCTCTCATTCAACCCCTTATGGACTGGGTCATGACAGGTCACCTTGCCTGATAAGGATCGTAAATATCTCATCTTCCCCAGAACTCAAGGAAATAGACTCCATATTTCCTGTTCCTAAAGCATAAAGTTCTGCTTGAATGAATCATGGAGACTCTTCTAGGAGAAACGAATGAATAAAGAAGATAATGAAACTTTTGATGTGAAGGGATAAAGAGGATTTGTAAGGGAAGCCAGGAGATGCTGGAGAGTCAGGAGGAGGGGGACATGCGATGTCAAGGCCCCTGATGCAAGAAAGGAATTAAAAATGGGCAAGAGGCAAGAAGGAGCAGCTGCTAAGACACAGTTTAAGTGCTCAAGAGCCAAGCTAGTTCATGGCCTTCCCCACCCACTAGCCTGCTCTCCAGGTAAGTCTCCAGAAGGCTGATGGCCCCTAAATCCTATTCCAGGTAAATTTTCACACTTCATGCAAGTGGTCACTTCTCTCTCTAGGCAGCAAGAACCCTTTCAGCCCCCAACCACACTTGAATACATTACCTTACAGCACCTTTAGAACAACTCAAGGCCAAATGGTGTCTTGGACACTTAGCAGGATGGTTGGGAGGTTCTCTAGCAACCATGCACCTGGGTGAGAAGGTGGGGTGGATGCCAGAATTGAGTACATTAGATTATCATGCACTGGGACAGTTGGGGGAGGGGCCACTTCTTTCTAAATGTTAAGCTGACGTTCTATCTAGCCATCCCCCCACCATTGCTTAAAGTCTATAATGCTTTAGAAAACTGTACAAAATGAGAAAAGAAAGCAACTTTATTTTGAACAAATCTATGATAGGATACAAAAAAAGAAAGTTTTGGATGGCAACATGTTGGGGGTATAGGGTAGAATTGCAAAGGATTTATATTTTCTGCCTGGTGCTTCCCTGTGGTTCCCAAATGTTCTGCAATGTCCATTTATTTCTTTAATAAATCAGAAAAAATGTATTTTCAAAGAATAAGTAGAAATCATTTTTTAACTTCTAAAGGGGAGAGACTCACATCACGATTTATGTAGGAATACTTTCCCAAAATATATGGATGAATATACCTTAGTAATATACAGTACAAAATGTGTTCCCTAGTGTTGTGTTGTCACCATCTGGAAATGTATTTAGTGCAGGAATTTAAAGAAAATAGAAGTCTATGGGGCACCTGGGTGGCTCATCGATTAAGAGTCCCACTCTTGATCTCAGCTCAGGTCTTGATTTCAGAGTCATTAGTTCAAGCCCCACATTGGACTCTGTACTGAGCATGAAGCCTACTTAAAAAATAAAATAAAATAAAATAAAATAAAATAAAATAAAATAAAATAAAATAAAATAAAATAAAA